CCAGGCCTTTTCTGCTACTCAGAGAAGCAAGGGCATGAGGGAGGCCCCAACTACCAGGAGGCCTCCCATCAAAAGTGGGTAGATGGTCTCCCTAAGTGGTGATGATGGGGGGTGGTGCTTTGCAGAATACATTTGGGAAGCACTCTTAAGAGCTGGTTCTGAATAACTTCCATAGAATTCTGAAGTGAGGCTCCCCTTTTATAGCACCATATGGCACCTGAGCCCCTTGTGTGACTCTTCTTCCCCCTCCCCCAACCCAGGAAGCTCCTGGATCAGCAGATAGAAGATCTCCACCAGCAGCTGAGACACTCCCTAGAGAAAGAGACGCAGCTCACCAGGACGTTTGCCAAGATGCAGGTCCAGTGCCAGCAGCAGGAGGCGCAGTTGCGGGTCTTGGAAGAAGAGAAGAAAACCCTCTCTAATGAGGTACGGCTTGAGCACCCTGCAGGATGGGTCCATCACACACACACACACACACACACACACACACACCCATTTTGCAGAAGGGTCTGAGGGGGTGCAGGATTTAAACAAGCCGCATGATGGGACAGACTGTGCTCGATGGAAGAAATCCAGATGTTGTCACAGGCTCAGCAGAATTCTGCAGCCTGGCATTGCATTTTTTCCCTCTGCGTATTTGGAACACTGCATTCTGGAATAGCTAACATTTCCAGACAGCTCCCTCTCCGAGATAACCTGTCAAGGAGTCCAAGGCTGAACCCCATGAGTCCTCAGGGCAGTTGTACACAAGTAACCAGATTTATGAAATGATTTATGAAAGTTTATTAAATTTTAACCAAAATAAAGGTTTATTCAGCAGGCAACACAATACTTCAAAGCATACAGCAAGAAAACAAAGAAACTATCTTAACATTTAGCACTCTTGGAATTGCATTAGATGGCACAAACCTTTAAATTCAAAAGCTGCATGTTATGTATTGGTATTCAATCATTCCTGATTGAATCACCCCAGAGACTGGCTGAGCTTGGAGCACAAGAACAATAGCCTACCAGGATTCTGAAAGTAACCAATCTAGTAGTAATGTTATGTAAATAGCCTATCACTGGGTGTGGGGTGTGCTTGGGTGTGGCCATTGCATGCTATTTAACTGAGCCGAGGCTCTGGAGTCTTGTCTTGCTCTTGCTGAAATCACAAATAAAGTTGAGCTGATCACTAGACTCAAGCCTGCTCATCCATGGAACCCACTATTTAACATGCAGAACCACTTTTCCCAGCGCTTAGTTAAGAGAACAGAACCCGGATGGATCAGACCAGTGGTCCAAAGCTCAGGTGTTCTCTATGTTTCTAGCAATTGCAATTCAAGCAGGTCATAGTCCAGGCCTTTAGTTCATCAGAATCCCAGCTAGTCTCTCCTCTTCTGGGCCTTATTTAATTATAGTTTTTTGCCCAGCAACCTCGGGTGATGATGACATCCAATCAGGACCTGTTCTCAGGAGAAGCCTCTAGAAAATTACCTCATCACCCCATATTCTTCCCCTTCCATCCTACAGACTGCAGGTTCTCAGGAGAAACTGATTGCCATGCTTCCAACTCTGGCCTTGAAGATGATAAGAGCCATGTAGGCCGAGAGACCAATTAGTAACACCTGCAGGAGGGAATGAGCCCGCTACATTAACCCATGAGGGGAGGTCAGGGGTGCTTTGCCTGACAGAACCTTACTAGAAAATGAGACTGAAAACACCAACTCTGCTTTTCAGCATCTGCACTGTCAAAAATATAGTCAGAAACTCTCCGAGCAGCTGTTGGCGTTGCAACGGGAGAAGGAAGTCGCCCACAAGGAGTACAGTCACATCCTGCAGCAGGTGGACATCTCTGTCAGGTAACTTCCAGCACAGATGTGGTTAAGGACAGGAGCTGCATCTACTGTGATTTTCTGTGGCACAAGCCCATAGGGTGAAGAAAGTAAGCTGCTTTTGTGAAACTCAGCCCACCTGGTAGCAGTCCGAGTGACAGTTGTCAAAAGCTGCAGAGCCACTCCACAGAGCTTAGTTAGGAGAACAGAGCCCTGATGGATCAGACTAGTAGTCCATCTAGTCCAGCATCCTCTTTCATGCAGCCAGCCAGTTACTCTGGAAGGCCAACAAACAGGGCATAGAGGATGAGGCCTCCCCCTGGTGTTGTCTCCGAGCACAGGCATTGAGGTTTAGTGCCTCCGGATGAGCAGATTCCCTTCATTCACCATGGCTAATAGCCACTGATGTATCTCTCCTCCATGAATCCATCCAAAGCCCTCCACGTCTGTGGCCATCACAACATCCATCAGTATTGAGTTCCGCGATGTAATTACTCGTTGAGTTCTGAAGAGCTTGAAAGGTACAGTGGTTGGGACACGTCCAGATCGGCCTCTAAAAATATTTCATGCATTTTTGCCCTGAATTTCTCTAGCATAAAAACAGTTTGAATTCTGCCGCAAATGGAGCACGTGGGGAACTGTATAGCTGTATTGCTCAGGTGTGTCCAGCCGTTTGTGAGAACGTTGTTGCCTCCTCAGAAAACACAACGAGAGGCATCTCCGCCACAAAGCCAAGCTCCGAAAAGCAAAGGAGACGTTCATCTGCGAAGTGAAACAGCGGGATGCGCGCATTAGAGAACTCCAAAACGAAATGATGCTTTCCAAGAGCCAGATGGAAAAGGTGAGAAAGAGTAGGAAGGCATCACCATTTCCATGCAGATGTGAATTAAATTTTAGGCACTGCCATGGATTTGGGAGGGAAGACTCAGACGGGGGGCTAGGAACTATCAGCAGTTTCTGAATGGCTCAGAATTATTGCGCTTAACAGCTGCCTGTTACTGGTGCCTGAACCTGGTTCTTCATGCTTGCAAAGCATGTGTCGTGCCGGTGTGAGAGGCAGTGTGGTACAGCGGTAAACATCTGACTAGAACCTGGGAGACCCCAGGTGAAATCCCGACTCAGCCATGAAGCTAATCCTGGACTGGTCATTTTCTCTCTCAGCCTGACACACCACGCAGGGTGGTGGACTGGTTGTGAGGTTAAAAAACGGAGGCAGGGAAAGCAATGCGGTAAATTGCCTTGAGCTCCCCACTGGGAAGAAAAACACGG